GCTGGGAAGCTCCTAGCCCCACCCCTTACGCAAGCTACTGCTCCCCTGGCTGGTTGGGTGGGACCCGCCTGGGCCTGAGGGGCAACTCAGGAAAGCTCTGAGAGGAGATGAGTGGCCACAGAAAGTCATGCAACTCCTGGAATTTCTTACTCTTGGGATGAAAGATACCCCAGTGTCCTCCAGAGAGTAGGCCATCCCAGGTCCTGGTAGGCTCAGAGAGAATCACAGAAATGTCTCCTAAGATACCCCCTCCCGGCTACCCCCAACAGCTGCTGGCTCAGTGCCGCTGGCCTGCTGCTCCTCACCGGCTCCCGGCCTGGCTGGCAGCTACCCACCAGGATGCTGGCAGTCCTGCCCGCCTCTCCCTCCTACCCCCTGCTCGCAGTGCCCTATGCCAACTGTGGGCCTGGGTGGGGGAGGGTCACTTCTATGCCTTGGTGCCAGGCAGGCGGGCCCAGGCCCCTGAGGTCCTATAGATAAGCCCCAGGACCCTGTCCTTAAGCCACCTCCTTAAGAGGAAGCATATTGCTCAGGGCTGATACAGGATAGACCTATGAGCAGTTACTGAAGGATCCACGCCCCAAGGTGGGGACCAGTGTCTCTCCTGTCACCAGGCGCCAATCTTCCAGCACTCCCCCTGCAAATGCTTGGGCACCAAAGTCCCTGCAATTCCTAAGAGCCCCAGTCTAATGCCTAGAGCTTGTGAGGGAGCAGGGTGGGGCTGCTCCCTGCCCTTTGATCCCCATAAAGGGAGGGAACTAGCCTGGAGGGCAGGGGGGCAAGGGAGGAGTTCATGGGGCCCCTCATTTCCCCTGCCAGGGGCATCAGGGCAGGGTGTGGGCATCTCCTGGGTGGGGCTCATCCTAAGGTGAGGATGGGTAGGATGTCTTAGCATGAGAGGTGCATGTCAATACGTGGTGTTATATGGGAATGTAATGGTAAGAACAAAGTAAGGAGAATACAGAGGCTCTCTAAGTGGCAACCCATCCCAGTCCCAACTTTACCCTTACCCAGAAACACTTTCAGACTCAACCAAATTGAGAGCTCAAAGAGGACTACAACTCCCAGTGTGCACCACAACTGTTTTACATGTACCTTGGGAGTTGTAGTTCCCTTAAGGGGCCCTGGGTTCTCTTTCCAAGAGCTTAGTGGGTAGGTTAGGGAGAGAATGGTCATGGACCTCCTCAAAGCGCAGCACTATTTAAGAAGAGTAAAAACAGGCTAGGAGGTTCATAGTGGGGAGAGAAGACCCCCTTATTCCAGGCAAAGGGGGAAGAAAGAAGGAAGGAAGGTCGAGAGGATGTCTGTTGAAAGGGGCATATGGGTGGGGAGGAGCTGGGGGGGTGGAAACAGGAAGGAAATTGAAGCCAGAGACATGAAGTTGAAAGCAAGTTCTTGGGGGAGCCCCACTCCGAGGCGTGGCAGAGACTGGGAAGACATTTCTCCTGCCATTCTGGTGACCTGGGAAGGCATAACAGGAATTAGTGATGTTCAGTGGTATCGAATAACGTATTGTGTGTGCGGGGGGGGGGGGGGGGGGGGGGGGGGGGGGGGGGTGTTATCGGCTCCATTTGCCCGTCACCAGCCCTCTTTTGCCAAGGGCACCCTCAAACTCTGGGTGCGGTATAGGCATTTGCTGGGTAGGAAGCCCCGAAGGTCCTTAGGAAAGCTAGAAGAAGAGGGGGAGTTGGGCAAGTACACTGAAGGCAGCTGCGGGTTAGGCCCAGGTGTGAGGTCAGCATAATGGCAGGACAGAGACCACAGAAGCCTCGGGGAGGAGTGAGCTAATGTCCCTGTGCCACCTGCTTCCACCCATCTCAGGCTATCGGCCAGAACACTGAGGCATTTGCTGAAGATTTCCTCCTGGACTAGTGGCCTATCAACATAAAATATGGCCTCGTAGGGAGCCAGATGGCCACTGGGTATCTCTCCCTGGTAGAGATGGGCAAGAGAACAGCTTTGAAGACACTTTTTTTCTGAGTTTCCCAAAGTTCTGTGACAAATGCTGACAGGCCACAAGATTACTGCCAAGGCCTGCGAAGTGGTGGTAGTGGGGTCTTTCTTGGTCCTCCAGTCCTTGATGGTGGTGGACCCAAGTCATTCTGTCCCCTTCTCCCCAGTCCCCCAGGCCTGCATTGGCACCTGGCTGCTTCTGTGTTGGCAGGACTGGAAGGGGGGGCAGTAAGGCAACTTCAAACTGTCCGGGCAAAACGTCAAGTTTACTCACGAGTTTACTCAGCAGGAGGGGGAGAGGCCAGAGCAGGCACACCCCATGCCAGGGTCCTATCCATCTGCCTGTCTCCACCTTCCTCCCCCACCCTCGTTTCAGCTCTAGGCCAAAACAGGCACAAGCCCCAAGGCCTGGTGGCAGGGCAGTCTTAACTCTCAGGAAGGTCATAGAGCCAAGCAAGCTGGAGGCAGGAAGCCCTGAAGCAGGCCCAGAGGCTTCTATCAGAGGGCACTGCCCTGCCTGGAGCCCATTTATTCCCCTTCTCAGGTCCTTGGCCTTGTGCCAGAAGAACTGGGCCTCTCAGCCATCTAGAAGAGGGCCTTGTCTCCTCCACCTGAGCAGTCTGTTGAGCCAGTAACTTCTGACCCCAAAGTCCACTCCTGGGCTGGGCCTCGGGTACCAACATGATGCCATTCAGGATCCCATTCATCTTACCCTTGGCCTGGAATGGGGGGCCAGCACTCTATCTGACCTACTTCCCTTTCCTCCCCACCTGTTTTCACTCTCAGCTTCTCTCCCCAAGCCTTCACTGTCCCCACCCCAGAGGTGCTCCACCCCCCCAGCCTGCTGGGTCCCCTCCCCCACTCTTCCCCAGGGTGCCAAGTGCAAGCACACAAAGGGCCCGATGGTGCATTGTTAGCCCAGCCCCCGCTGCCCGCCGCGCCCTCCTGGGGCAGGCACTAGGCCAAGGAGGAGCTGGGGGCGGTGGGTGCCAGGGGGCACCATGGGGAAGGGGAAGAGGGCAGCACCTGTCTCCCGGACACTGGGGCCATATCACCTGGACTGAGTAGCGGTGAGAAGGACCCATTAGAGCAGGCTTGTCTTCTTCACCTGAGCCTAGTGGGCACTGCTTTCTTCCCCAGAGCCCTTTTCTGGCAATATTAACCCCTTCCTGACCCCAGGCTGGGGGGAGGTGCCCAAGGGAGGGGACAGTGTCTGGGGGTGTCAGCAGGCAGCAGCGTGCCTACAGCAACCATGTAACAGAGGCACGCTGGGGGAGCTGGGGTCCCGGGGGCCAGGGACAAGAAGCACTGGCAGAGATTTCTCCCTGTTTCATCAGCTGCTCCAGGGGGAGCCCCCTGTCCTTCTCCCCAGTTGCCACTAAGGAGGAACACTAACTACCATCCAAACCCAGTCACAAATATGCCCTTCTCCAGCCCAGCACAATACTTATGCCCAGTATCTCTTCCCAATCTAATGTCCACTCCATGCCAGCTCTATAAACAGTGCCAGGAGGGTACAGGGGTGACCAAACCAGTTGGTGTGGGGGGGTAGCAAAACACAACCCCATAATCCTCCAGGCCTTAGCGCCCCCCCAAAACACACACTCCCTTGGGGAACAGAGAGTTCCTATCTTGGTTTAACTCCTCACTTCCCAATCTGGATCCCCCAATCCTTGATAAACGGTCCCCTTCTCTAGGAATAAGTTGGGGCAAGAAGAAATAGCTGCGCTGACTCATTCCCAGTCTCAGCTGCAGCTAGGGGTCTCCAAAGCATTCGGGCGGGGGTCAATTCAAGAACGCCCTCCACCTGGCCCGGAAGCCAGGACAGCTTGCCGGTCTCCCCCTCTCCCCAGCACCCACTTCCGGTGTCCCAAACTAGGTCAGCAGTGCTCGTTTCCTGTGGGTCAGCTAGCACCGGCGCCTCTGCCCCTCCCCTGCTCCGGACCCAGGCTCCCCGCCTTACCCCCCGCCCCCCAGGGCGCCCCGAGGTCTCACCACGTCTCAGCCGCCCTTTGATACATGGGGGATGTGCAGGGCGGGGGGCAGGGGACCCGCCCTCTCTCCAAACACTAGCAGGGCCGGGGCGCCTGGGCAGGCACGTGTCCGGGCACAACCCGCTGCCCACGCTGCCCCCCCACTCCCACCCCCCCTCGCTCTGGCCAGGACACGTCGCTCTCTTACTTGGGTGGGGTGGGAGGAGGGGAGAGAAAGCTGGGAATGGAAAGCAGCGCCCCCCACCCCTTTGAATGGCCACCCTCTGCCAGCGGCGCGCACTAGGTTTCTACCACACGGCGACCCCCGCTCCGGTTAGGGCAGGTGCGCCGGCGCCGGCGGCAAAACGGTGGTAGGTAGAGTTCTTATCACCCACCCGCGCGCTGGAGGAGTTGTGAGAGCAAAGGCTGACTTTGAAAAGGTGGCGGTGGGGCTGCAGCTTGAGAGAAGGGAATGTGATTGCGGAGCGGGAGGGGCAGAGGGGTCGTTCTGCCGAGCCGCACTACCGCGGGAGAGACGACGCGGCTCTGGAAGCGCAAGAAACCGAATAGTCCAGCCGGTAACTTTCCCCCCGAGTCGCGGTTCCTTCCGCCGCCCCCCAGCTCCCATGCCACTGGCCTGGGTCCAGCCCACCGCGCCAGGGGGCGCGGAGCAGGGCGGGGGGGGCACGCGTTGTCCTAGTTAGAGTCCGTCAGCATTTCCATTCCCTCCGTTCGGTCGGGCTTGGGGTCTTCCCCCTAAAGTCACGGAGGCGACTGGGAGAAGTTCAGCGCAGCTCACCCCCTCTCCATCCCGTAGCTTACAGTCTGTCTGATATTAGAAGTGCAAAGAAAGTTTCTGGAGACCCTCCGCCCAGAGTTGGGGGAGGCTGTAGTACTCTACCTTTTCCTCCAAGTTAAAAACCAATTCCAAAGACCTAGGAAAGCTATAGGGAATGCGACTGTTTGAAATCTGGTGTGTGTGTACAGGGGTCTCACAGGACGCACGAAGGACACTGCAGTACGCTCGAGTCTAGTGGACCTCGAGCCAAGGGACAAAAAGTAGGGTTCACTTACTTCTCAGCCCTCGGGTCCTCACGCTGGAGCTGCAGATGCAGAGTGTGGGAAGAAGTGCGTCCCCCGCCAGGCCCGGGGGCTTGGGGCCCTGCTCCGGTCCTGGTCAGAAGGCCGCGGTCAGTGGCTCGCCGCTCGTTGCTGGGGGGCTCCTCCTCCGCCACCCTTTGCCTCCTCCTGCTGCCCGCCCCCCTTGGCCGCGGAGAGCCGTACATTCACCTGGCTCCCACCCGCCCCCCCCCGGGCCCGCCTCACCTGTCCTGCTGTCTCACCTGTCCTCCCGCTTGCTTTCCCCCATCCCTCCCCTCCCTCCCCCCGCCCCTGCCACCCCCAAACTCCCCCCCCACCCTTAGC